TGATGTCCGATTGAAGAGAGATTACACTACACTTACACAAACTCAACAAAAAAACCCAGAAACTTGTTTTAGTAAAACTACAACTCAAAACCCCAATCAATTTTCATCAAAGGTATGCTTTCTTCCTTCTACCAACCAAATTCCCAATTGTTTTTCAGTTCAATTTTCATGTAATCAATTAAAAAATTTGATTAAAATTGTGGGAATTTCAGGTTTTGGTTTATGCAAGTGAGTTAGATCAGCAACAATGGTAGTTCTAGCAAGCAACTGTGTAACAATGAATTCAGCAGCAATAATGGGTGGTACCCTTGTTCATACCCACCAATCTTACAATAAACCCTTGTTCCTTTTGCCAAGCAGTAGAACCAACTCTTCACAATCTATTTCTCTGTCATCCTTATCCATTGGTGCTAGCATTGCTCCTTCCTCCTCCCTCAGAACTCCTGCTGTTGCCGTCGCCGCCGATACCACCCAGCCTAGCTCTTCTTCTGATCAGGTATAATTTTGCCACCCTCCAATTTTGTGTTGTTGGGTTTATTTAGTTATAAGAGGAATTTTCATTGACTATTTTAGATTATTATGATTGTTGAGTACTTTGTTTGAATTGCTGATTAAAATCCTGATTATTATAATAAGTGGTTGAAATCTTGTAAGAAGCTTAATTTTAAACAAATGTGGTTGTAGTCTTGTAATAAGAAGCTCAATTTTGCTTCTCTTTATATTTGAAGAATGCCTGTTATTTTTTTGTTTGTTTCAATGAATGTTGAGTTTTAATGAATAAATATTGTTGAAATCCATTATAGCCTACTCGTGAATATCTCACATTGGAGTAAGAGGAGAGATGATTTCACTTTATAAGGTAGTGGAGTTACTACTACAGTAATACTATCACCAATTGGTTTTAGTATGGAACCTCCTTTGGCCTTGGTTGTGGACCTAACTCTCCTCCTCCTTGGGTTGTCTAGGCTCATTTCATATTCTCTAAAAAATTTAACAAATATTTGGGTAAACTCCAAGTTGATAACAATGATTGTATTTGCATTTCTCTGCTCTAAAATATAAAGTTGATAGTTACATGGTTTCGAAAATCATACAATTTGTGCTATACACTACTATACCGTCTATATGTGAATATATGGTCCTAGTTGGCAAATGTACTATTGCATATTTTGATATGCTTGGAGTGTATGTTAAGTTGATTGACTTGACATCCGAATTAACAAACAATAGTTTTGATCATTAACTTATGTAGTAGCTCATTTGTGGAAAGATCTCTTGATCAACTAAAAAAGGCCTTATAGGGCGGTTATTATTTTTGAAAGGGTATTCTCATGTACCTAAAATAGAAATTGAAAAATTGGAGGGATGTTTTGTTAGGTGTATGAGATTATGAGAGGGTGATTCGTCTCAATTATTTTGGCAGGTGTTCATGGGAAATTGGAGATATAGCAGTTCTTTAGCTGAAACATAGGTAAATAACTTTGTTAGGAGGAAATAACTTGCCTATCCAACCCTAGGACCTACGCATGTTAGTGGACTTTGTGCGAAGTTCGTACTTTCTTCAAGTAAACAATTTTGTGTACTTTCTTCCACCAACTAAACAAATTTGTGTACTTCCTGCCATCAACTGAACAATTTTGCTTATTCCGTAATTTATACCATCAATTAAACAAATTTGTGTATTTTTTATCATCAACTACACCAATTTGTGCACTTTCCGAAAAGGTTTGATTACTAAAGATGTAATAAATCCCCCTTAAATGAATCAACGAAACAGTGAAACTTTTAAGGATCAAGTTATAGTTGCTGTTGTGGTATTCTAACACGGGCCATTGTTCCCCTTAAGCACTTTAAGTATTTGAGTTATGCTTCTCAAAGCCGGTTACTATTTTGAGATTAGATTTGTGCACATTGAGCAGAGAGTGAAAGGTTTTACTTTGCAGTTGAGCTGCTTCCTTTCTCTATAATGTTCAGGATGATCATTTGAAGCATCATTATTCGCATGATAAGTAGTAATAATTGTTGCATGTTTCTGCGTTGTATGTATTCTGTACCTTGGTACTATTTTGTGCGGAGTTGGAGATTTGGATTCTTTTCAGGTTAAGACATGTTTTCAAGCATTTTTGGTGATGATTAACTACATTAGCTTGCCTGATCCAATCACAATTCTCTCTTACGATTCAGGATCAAACAACTAAGAAGTATTATTTTGTGGTTGCAAATGCAAAATTCATGCTTGACGAAGAGGAACATTTCAGAGAGCTTATGGATGAAAGGCTTCGCATGTTCGGAGAGCGCAACATAGAGCAGGATTTTTGGCTTGTAATTGAACCAAAGTTCCTGGAGAAATTCCCTAACATCACCAAGAGATTGAAGAGACCTGCTGTGGCTTTGGTTTCAACAAATGGCCCATGGATCACGTAAGGAGCACTTCAATGATGTTTATTCTTTCTTTACTCCTTATCAGTCAAAATCATAATCTGTTAAGTGGTTTAATTTTTCAAGTTTGGGTATTGCTTTGTGCCCTGGTATGCGTGATTTAATGTGATGTTTAATATATAGGTAATGCAATGAACTTCGTATTTAACAGCAGTAGCATTAACCTTTTGAATAGAATAGTGTCTAGAGCTCATGTAGTTCTTTTGGATGCTTGGAAAATTAGCATGACATGTATGTGAGACATATCATTGGAGTAATTCTTATTGTAATAAGGATTGATTTAGATAGGTTTATGTATGATTTTTCTTGTGTGCGGGAATACTTTTTATTTTAGGAAGATACTCGTATACGTACAAATAATTCTTGTATGCTTAGCCTATAGGAAGAACAAGGTTGTGGACAATGAGAGAAATTTAGATGCATGTGGCTGAGGAAGTGAATTACATATAGTAATCTAATACATAGTATTGTTATTTGAAGCCTTTTAAAATTACTGTGTATTTTCTTTTCCTCTTGGAATGCCAAAAATCCGCAAGCTCCTCCAAGATAGCTTTTCGGATTTATTGCATTGATGAGGTTATGTTAAACGACTTGCAATCTTTATACCCTGTGTTGATGTTGGAAAGATTTACGAGTAATTTTGAACATTCTGCTGTACGATGGTTCAGAGTACCATCTACTTTCCCATTTGCAGTTAAGAGTTATAAATCGAACTTCCTTGGCTGTTGAACCCAACCATTATCTGCCAGCCCTAGTCTTTGACAGTAATGCTTGAAATGCTAGCAATTCCAAATTATACTTGTGTATGCTTTACTTCTTAGTTTGTACTATCTTTTCAGAACTCAGTCTCATTTGAGTAAACACAATATGTCTTGGCAGATACATGAAACTGAGATTGGATCGCGTTTTAGCAGAAAGCTATGAAGCTGACAGCTTAGAAGAAGCATTGGCCTCAAATCCCACTAAAGTGGAGTTTGAGAAGCCAGAGAAGTGGGTCGCCCCATATACAAAGTATGAATATGGCTGGTGGGAAACCTTCTTGCCTCCTGGATCCCAAAAGTCCCAGGCTTGAAGTTGTGATGTGAAATAATTACTGAGAGTATTGCTTAGAAGAATCATATAAGTGATTTATCGCATAAATGGTTGAGATTTGTTTGGTACCTAGCCCTTTGTGGGTAGAACTAAAGACCTGTTTCTCATTCTACTGAAAAAATGGGGACAGATTTTGAAGAAGCTCGTGCATTGCAGTGACAGGTTTGGTAATATAATAGAGAAGAATGTGATATTTGTGTTTGTGGTGGTATGCGGCTAGTCATTTAAGTATTGTGTGCTGTTGTTAATTGATACATAGTAGATTGTAGGCAGCGAAATCTTTAGCAATGTATCAGATGTTTGTTTTCCTTCATTTCTTGTATGCAGAAGATGAAGATTTTCGAATATTAGGTAAATTGTAATTCATATTATGGAGTATAAGTTATTACTTATTAGCATATATCAGTGACTCCATTTTCCCTCCTTCCACTTTCAAGTTTTCCTGTCACTTTCATGGGAGTGTGAGCAAATAGCTAGTTGGTGATACATTTTGCTCAGTTTGTCAAAACTAGCGGTACTGGAATATGTGGAAAATATACAATCAGAATTTTTAATTTCTATAATATTCGTAATAGAGCAAGGTTTTTAACTCATACATTAGCTTTTTATGGGACTTTAAATCTATGCTTTCGTATTGAAAGTGGAAAGATATTCTCCACTTAATATGTTTCTTTGCCTTTATCAGAGTAGATTAATATACTAGTAGATTCTTAGGTCATCATGTCTTTACCTATATCACGCGAATTAGTCAAGGTAATGATGGTGAATCCAATGATGGAAGCAACTTTCCTTATTCTCCGTATTATGTTGATTGATGCAATATGGGGCGGGTATAAGGCGAGTATGGGCGGGTCTAATTTAAATCCATACCCGCCCCATGACCCATGGCGAGTACATATTTTGTACCTATCCCCGCCCCATCACCCGCCAAATCTCCCTCTAACATGACCCACCGCCATCCCTCCTTCTAGTTTTGAACCTAAATGTGGCAAAATTATCATTACCTCATTTAGCTTTTACTAGCTTAACCCATCATATATTTGGTGATTATTTGGCTTAATAAAAAACTAAGATTTAAAAAAAACATTAAAATTTCTAGTACAAGGATTAATTGTTACAAATAAAATATACAGTATTATAGATGTATCTGCGATGACATACTAAAGTCATCTCATACATCTCAATTCATTCTCAGCCTCAATCAATTATACCCTAAAATAGCCACAAAATTTTCCAAATTAATCTAAAAAATTTCAAAATAACCAAAATACTCCGGAACACTCGAGAACATACTAAACAAATTCCTATAATCTCTCCACTTCCATCTCCAAAAAAAGAAGCTTCGAGAAAATTGCGTATAATACCAAGTCAAACCAACCAACAAATAAAATCCACCCACATGTACTAAATAAAGCCATCTTCAATATCAACCACACAAAATAATAAAATTAAAAATAAAATAAAATCACATGAAACCACAATATTAATTGTGGTGAGATTTCTCGTATAATCTGTAATACCACGATGATTAAAAAATTAAAAGCGTAACCGTAATTCATACCAGAAGAAGATTCACAATTCACGAACAACGAACAATAACAATGGGAAATACTAGAATTTGGCAAATTATTAAAAAGGCTAACTCAATAATATTAATTAAATTAATTTTATTATTAATATTATTATTATTAAGGAAAATAAAAATAAAAGAAAAGTGGAAAATAACGGAGGTGATAAATTATAACCCAAGATCAGCCGTTCGATCCCTACCTCATTACAACCGACTACCTCTCTTTGTTGTATAAACCCTTTTTCAGTCTTCTCGTTATTATTCCAAGCTTCCTTTCTTTCAATCTAAGAGAGAGGATTTAGGTCGTTTTTCTTTCGATTTGGCGATTTTTTTGTTATTCTCTGCGTTTTCTTTAAGGTATGGTTTCCGATCTGTGTTTGATTTGATTTTTTTGGGGTTTTTTTTGGTGTATTTGATTGATTTTTTGATTGGGATTGATTGATTTCAATGGTGATTTTGTGGGTTTTTATTTAAAGTTTGGATTCTTTGAAATTTTTGGGATTTTTTGGGTTTTTTTTGTTAAGTTTTGATTTTGATGAAATTGATTTTTATTGAGTAAATTGATTGAGTAAATCTTTTTTTAATCAGTTTTGTTATTTGATCCTGATTCATTGATTGAATCAAGTTGAAATTTGTAATTATATTGAAATCAAATGGATTTGTGTTTCTTAGGGTTTCGATTTCTTCAATGTGGGTATTTAGTTCTTTGCTTTTGATTTTTTTGGTGTATCGTTGTTTGATTTTTTATTGGAATTCATGGTGTATTTTGTGATTTGAGAGGTGAATTTGTGATTTAAAATAAAAAAAAATTGATTAATTGATTTTTTTTTTTTTTGAAATCAAATGGATTAATTGATATTTGTTTTTTTTTTTTTAAATTTTTTTTGCTTTTGATGATATTGATTGTTATCGATTAAATTCGTCCTGAAAATCTGTTTTTAATCAGTTTTGATTTTTAATATTTTCAATTAAATTAAATTGAAATCTGTAAAAAAAAATTCTATTGAAATCGCCTGAAGTAGGTGATTTTTTTTTTTTAAAAAAAATTAGGTTTCTGATTTGTTCAGTCTAATTAGGTATTTAAAGCAAAGATTGAGAAGTTATATGATGATATGCTGTGATTATTATCATATTTTTTTTTATTTTGGAGCTTGATTGTGATCTTGCTAATGTTACAATGAATGTGATTTTTCCAGAATTATCTGCTGTCATAAAAAGTCGTTAGAGGCTGACGATGATGCAGCAGCGATATCGAGTGAGTCTCTATTGAATTCTGATTACACTACAGATTAGTACTGTAATTGATTGTATGGACTTGTATGCTGAATGTTTGATTGCTAATTAATTGTTGATTGTAATTGTGTTTTTAATTGTGAAATAGATGGGGGAAGATTTGGATGAATACGAGGATGATTTTGTAGAACGAGATGATTATGAAGATGCTGAAGAGGATGGATATGAGGATGAGGAAGAAGAAGAGGAGGAAGAGGAAAAACCATTGTCAGCAGAGGCAATTAAATACCTGGAACTTCGAGAAAAATTGAAAGCAAAACACAGGTCCAATTTGAGGAGGGAGAATGGCAAGAATGGTGTCAGTGTTAACAGCTCGAAGTTGATGAAGTATGCATTGCTGTGAATCTTTTATTTTGCGTTGTGCATTGTATTGGTTGTGATGCGATTCACTTGTGAATTGTGATGATTTTTGGTTGGTTTGAATTCGCTGATCTCCTAATTAGATTTCGTTCTTTTGTTTTAATTGCAGTTTTGGATCCTTTTTTGGTCCTTCTAAGCCAGTGATTGCTGATAGAGTTATCCAAGAAAGAAAATCCTTGTTGGAGACTCGGCATTTGACACCTAAAGTATCTACTTCTCAAAATGATGTATGTGTATTTTGTCAACGTAAGTTGCTGCTATATTATGTTTCTGTATAGTGTGTGCATGAGCGTCACTAGATGACCTTGGATGATCAACTTGCATCATGAAGCTGAACCTTTTAATGTTAAACTTTGGTCTGGTTATAAACTGATTCATTCTACGAATCTACGGTGGCTTCGTATGTCCAACAAGCCCTTGTACATGGCACAGGACATGACCTGGGACACCTCCTGGGCATAGTATGATAATAGTATCTACTTTCTATTAATTGTGGGAAATTAAGGAATTAATAAGGTAGAGGAATTAATCAATATATAATACTATCAAATGGCTAGTATAATGGTTTCATACTTCCATCCTGGCATCCTCTTTGAACCCTCTTCTGCCATTAATATTTAATAATCTATATTACCCGTACATTTTATCAACTTATTTTTCTAGTTCCATCTTGTGATGCGTCTAGTTGATTGTTCTGAATATTCATTCTCTTTGAATTCAATGCACTACTCTGCTATAACTTTTCTTCTTGATTCTATATACTCTAAAATTTGTTGGAATAGTCAGCTAGGATAAGGGCTCTGGAATGCCTGTTGACAGGTGTGTCCTGTACTTGGCATGAATGTACCCCATATGTCCATCTTAACCTCGGTTGAGGTTGCTTGTTGCCTGTTCCCAGAGTTTCTGGTTTTCAACCTTCGGGGTTTGATTGGTGCATTAGTGTTTTTGATATCATTATTAATGTGACAATTTATTTAATTGAATTCAGAGTTTTAGGTGTCGTTCTTAGATCAGAACTTTCTTGTGCTTGAGGAATGCTGTTGTTTTGACTTAGAAAATATAAATGTATTTGTCAATGCCCTTCCCAGAATTCTTTATTAATTGATGTTTCTGATTCAAATGCAGGCTAAAAAGGTTAGCACACATTCCACCACAACTTCAAAAAATGGACTGAGCAATACTCCTCTTCCAAGACAGGTTGAGACTCCTTGCTTAATGCATGTTTTAAACTGCTTATAACAGGTTCAATGTTATTTTTGTTGCTGATTCGATTTAAATTGCCCAGGTTAAATCAAAAGCACAGATAATCAAACAAACAAGAGACTATTCTTTTCTATTGTCAGATGATGCAGATATCCCTAAGCCAGCAAATAATTCTGGTCCACAAAAGAGTTTAGCTCCAAAGAATGGTTTGTTCTTTTATATTTGATAGAATAAAGCTTTCTTGTTTGCATAACTTAATCTAATATTTAATGCTATACCATGCTATAATTAACAGCTGTGGGTTTTGCAGGCCTAAAAGATTCCAGGTCAGCTGAAGTTCGGGCACAGAGAAATGAATCTTGTTCATATTCTGGGAAAAAAGGAAATGATGGGTACGAACAACTGAAGCCTTCTTCTGGGACCTCCCAAATCCATGATTCCCGTAGAGCACCGCCTCAGAGGTCAACCTCTGGTAATAGGGCAAGTCTTCCCTGTGATTCCCGTAGGCAGTTAGATTTGAGAAAGCAGAACCAACCAAATCAGAAGGCAGGCAGCAGTAGTGGAAGTGGGTCTAGACCTGCTGTTCAGAAAGTCTTGGCCCCAAGGAAGCCTTTTTCTTCTAGTGACAGGAAATTGCCAAATAGCTCCATGGAGAGAAGGCCATCTGCTGCTCCATTAGTGAATAAGGCTTCTGTTGTTGCAAAGACTAGTACTCTTGATCGGCAAAGGCAGCCTATGGGAAAACCACATTCTTCTGGTGTAAATAATCGTATGAATAATAATAGGGATGTTCAGCGAAGTACTGAGAACAGAATGTTGAAGAAAGATTCTGCTGAAGCTTCAAGACAGGTGCGTGCTTGCCTATTCCATGCTATACTTGTTTGAGTTCAACATGTTGCAAGAACATGAATTTGTAAAATTTCCTTGCAAATTTTTTTATGTATGATAAGCTCTGCTATTAATTTCCAGATGGTGAAGCCGCAGATGAGGCATGGATCTCTTCAGTCTAATGGGGTAAAAGGACACCACATTAACAAGCAAAAACCAGCTGGACAGCTACAAAATTCTTCTGCTGGTCTAAATAAAGACCACAGGATTAAAAAACGAAAGGCTCCAGAGTCGGATGATGAGGAGATGGACTATAGAGCCGTAATTAGGAAGATGTTTAGGTAAAGCTTATCTACCCTTCTTATAAACTGTTTTAGCTCTCATTAAAGTCGTGGTTTTGTTATTAGATTGAATTTTGATTGATATATGCTCCTCTATTATATTTCTTGTGATGCTGTTTTGAGAATGTTTTCTTAAGTACTGTCATTAAACAGGCGATATTTGCTATATCATGCTCCTCTATTATATTTCTTGTGTTTGTTGCCACTTGTTTCCTTTGACTTGTTGAATTGGGGTTGGGGGTCTGCATAGAGTGGTGAGGCACAGAAGTCTGGGATGCTGTTTAGACTTTAGAATGTTACTTCTTCCGAATAATACATGTATTTATAATCACTCATTTAGCTGTTGTATACTTGTGTATTTGTGAGTATGTTGTCTTATCCTGTGATTCTTGTTCAGGCAACCCACAAAATATTATGACGATGACGATGCTGGCAGTGATATGGAAGTCACTGACTTTGACACTATAATGGCCGAGGAAAGAAAGAGGTCAGTTTAGACTATTCTTTACATCATCTTTAATCATATATTTTATTTCTATTTATTTGTAGGGAATTTATTCTAAAGACTGGTTTTGTAATTTGTGACTAATGAAAATTCAGTTTAAGTAACAAGAAGTTAAATTCTGTTTAATAAAAGCACCCTTAATTTGCTTTAGAATCTTCTCTTCATAACAGCGTATTTTACCTGATGGGAATAAGTCTACTGTAATCCGTATCCTCTTTAGTCTGAACTATCATTTTGTCAAATTTTGGTACTAACCATTCTTGTTATCTTATTTATATGAATTGCAGTGCCAGGATAGCTAAACAAGAAGATGATGAAGAACTTATAAAGATTCAGGAAGAAGAAAGACAGGAAATGTTGAGAAAAAAAGCCAGGATGCGCAAAATGCAACAACGCCGATGACCATGAAATTATGCTTTATTTATTCAGTTATCTGGTCATTCGCAGCATTTATTCAGTTATCTGGTCATTCGCAGCTGGATTTACATGCCGTTTATTAATTGTATTGTACTTGGAAAGAATGGCAGTTATTCAAAATCCGAGTTGCTGTGTACGATAGATTGTGATGATGAAGTTCCTCCGTTTTGCCATTGGACTGTAACAATAGATAGTTTTTTTGTTTTCCTTTCAGATTTAGGTGCATTGGTTGGGGTGATTTTGGAGGAGAGGTGATTGATCACATGTATATTCAATAAATAGATCCCTTTAGTTTCTTGGTCCTTCGCTTGGATAGGAAAAAAACTTCCTTTCTGCTTGGGACTTCCTTTTTTTTTTTTTTTTTTTTTTTTTTACAAAATTGCTTAGGGATTTCATGTCAAGACCTTGCATATAAACTCAGAATTTTAATCAATGAGATATCAAAAGACAATGTAATGGTTTTTATTTTACTTTTGGAGTTTTTTGAATTGCACGGTTACCATTAAGGCAAATTGATGTGTTAAAAATTTTACTCTTTCTTGATAGTTGTCCTGTGCTTATGGTACCCGAACTCAACACCCTGATGTGTTGTAAACTGTTGAAATTGTACATGGAGATGTATCTATCTTTAATGGAGTTTAGGAAGGTTTTTGCTTATATAAAGACCATTATATCCTTATAATTTTTTTAACTTTATTCATTGTACTTCCTTAATTGCCCTTTAATTTTACACTTTTTTTGTACTTTTCTTCATTTTTTATCATTCAGTTTTTTTTATTATTGTACTTTTTACTTTTATTATTGTACTTCATCCACTTTTTCCTCTTATTTCTTAAACTAGATTAAACCCCGTGCAAACTTACATTATGGTCCATGATATTGGCATGGATGCATGGTCGTACATTCATCATCAAAAGAAATACCTTTAAGAAGATCAAGGTACAAGCATGGGTTGTACCATGGTACAGGATACACATAAGTAGTTAGTTTTATGTATACACAAAATTTAAGTTGTTAGATTCTATAAAATTGGTAGAAATTGGTTGGATTTGTTAGGCTGTAGTAGTGTTTACAATGGCAGCGAAAAGCTATCAACAAGTTGATTGAAAAAGCCATACTCGAGGCAGAGGAAAAAGGGATCAATATAGTGAGCTTAGGACTTTTGAATCAGGCAAGTTTACTAATGATTCTTTTTCTTCTGTTATATAAAATCAATGCGTATATAGCTAAGTACTTATCTTATGATCACTGTTATTTCAGGGAGACCATTTCAATAGAAACGGCAGCACAAGTAGAACTGGTCACAATACGTCAGCATGAATCGTTGATTCGCCAGTTGATGTATATCCTACAACCTACTGATGTACCATATACTGAATGGAATTTATACTACTTTTAAGTAATTTGCTATTTCAAATTCTTGATATTTTGCTATTTTAAGTAATTTGCACCTTTTGTTGAACTATATACTACATTGTCATATGAAAATATTACAGTACTATAAGCATGCATGTGACAAGGCAGTTTTACTTAATTAAATTAATCTTCAATAAGGAGATGAAAACTTAAGGGAAATTTGAAAAACTATAGAAACGAATGAGTAGTCATAATATTTACAAGTTCAAAAGTACTTTTAGAAAAAACATATTTGGTTAACCAATAAGATTAGAATTGAACTTACTATACTGGTTAGTATTGTGTTGTAATTTTGAGCTTTTAGTTGTATTTGAAAATAACTTGAGGGGTTGGGAAAAGGGTTATCGAAGGGGTCACTCGATCAAGGATTACTTGAGGGGTTCAGACAGGGGTTACTCAAGGGGTTTACTTGGTCAAGGGTTATTCGAGCAACTCGGTCAATGGTTACTCAATCATGGGTTATTTCAGGAGTTTGATCAGGGGTTACTTAAGGGTTTAGTCAAGGGTTACTCAATCAGGGGTTACTAGAGAGCAAGGGAAGGGATTATTCGGTTAAGGGTTACTGGAGGGGTTCAGTCATGGATTACTCGAGGGGTTACTAGGTCAGGGGTTACTTAAGGGGTATCTCGATAAGGACTAACTCAAGTAACCCCAAACCAAATAACTTGAGTAAACTCAACAACTCGAGTAACCCCTAACCGAGAAACTTGAGTAGCCCCGACAACTCGAGTAATCCCATATTGAGAAACTCAAGTAACCCCTGATGCACGGTACAACAAGTTGCATACTAAAATTTGTGATGTAAAATATAAAGTATATTTAATATGATATATTTATTTGTTCGTAGGTAAGAGAAGTAATAAAAAAAAAAAAAGTGTAAACGGGGTTGGTAAAAGAGAAATAATTAAATAGTTGTGGACTCTTAATAAAGAAAGTAGTGTTGCAATTATTATGAAATGGATTGTACGTGGCAGGGTTACTTGAGTTATTTTGTTACGGGTTATCCGAGCTATTCAGTTAGGGGTTACTCGAGTTACTCAGTCAGGGGTTACTTGAGGAGTTGGGACAAGGGTTACTTAAGGGGTTCGTTCGGTCAAGGGTTACTTGAGGGGATACTCCATCAAGGATTACTTGAGAGGTTCATACGTGGGTTACTCATGGGGTTCACTTGGTTAAGGGTTACTTGAGAGGTTACTCGGTCAGAGGTTACTCGAGTTACTCAGTCAAAGGTTGCTCGAGCAATTGATCAATGGTTATTCAGTCATGTGTTATTTCAGGAGTTTGGTCAGGGAGGGGTTACTTGAGGGTTTAATCAAGGGTTACTTAATCGGGGAGTGGTTACTCGATTAAGGGTTACTCGACGGGTTCAGTCATGGATTACTCGAGGGGTTACTAGGTCAGGGGTTACTTAAGGGGTCACTCGATTAGGACAAACTCATGTAACCCTTGACCAAATAACTTGAGTAACCCCAGCAACATGAGTAACCCCTGACCGAGAAACTCGAGTAACTCCGACAACTTGGAGTAATCCCATACCGAGAAACTCGAGTACCTCTTGCTACACGGTACAACATGCTACATACAAAAATTTGTGATTTTATAATATAAAGTATAGTTAGTGGGAAATATTTATTAGTTTGTTGGAATAAGAAATAATAATAAAAAAAATGTGTAAATGGTTTGGTCAAATAGAAATAATAAAATAGTTGTGGGCTCTTACCAAAAAAAAGTAGTGTTGAAATTATTATGAAATAGACTGTATGTGGCAGGGGTTACCCGAGTTATTTTGTTAGGGGTTACCCGAGTTATTCAGTTAGGGGTTACTCGAGTTACTCGGTTAGGGGTTACTTGAGACTTTGGGACAAGGGTTATTCGAGAGGTTCAGTTGGTCAAGGGTTACTTAAAGGGTTACTCAATTAAGGATTACTTGAGAGGTTCAGATAGGGGTTACTCAAGGGGTTCACTTGGTAAAGGAAAACTTGAGAGGTTACTCGGTCAAAGGTTACTTGTGTTACTCAGTCAAGAGTTACTCGAGTAACTTGGTAAGTGGTTACTCGAGTAACATTCTATACACCATGCTTACATAGAAAAAGCAGTAATTATACTTCCTTTTTACTCGCTCTAATTTATTTACAAGTATCATCCAAATGCTAAAGTAATACACTAAGGTATATACCTTCTCATACAACAAAATATATATCTACTGACAAATTCTTACTCTACATTCAATGAGATTTATAATAATAAGTAAATCAAGTCGAGACATATAAAACATGCAATACTTAAAATTTTGTTACAATAACACAAACTTTCATGATACATCTAAGTCAATAATACATATTGAAAACTATGCAATAATAGTTATCTAAATTGTTACTTATTTGAACAAATAATAATATGTAATTAAAAGCTATATAAAATGACTTATCTTACATATGTATCTCATGAATTTAAGCACAAAATAATAATGGCTAACCCAATTATATTTATTAAGTGCTTCACTATTAGCATCCTAATTTTTATTAACAAAATGGTGCGCACTTTAAATTTGTAACAATAATATGAACCTTTATAATACAACTAAGTCAATAATACACAATGAAAGATCTGCATTTAATGAATAGTTGTCTAAACTGTTGACCTAATTATATACATAATAATAAATAATGAAAACGATGCATGCAATACAAACAATTTGAAACATATTTCAATAAAAAATGATTATATTTTACATACTCATTCAAATAGTTTGAATTTCATACTAATACAAATTAAACCATAAAGTATTAATATCGAATACAAATATGTTAATTTGATTCTTCATTAATGACATACTAATTTAAATTTACAACGCGGTGCGCGCGCGTGTAAAAAAAAACTAGTGAAAAATAAAAAGGAAAAGGCAGGGCAGTTGATGAGATTGAAATTCAAGGATAAACACAAAGCTAATCTACAGTTTGAGATTTCGTAGAAAGATCCAACGGATGTGAAATTGGGAATTGGTAGCACTCGTGAAAAATGCCAATTTTTATGACGTACACTTTCACTTTTTTTTTTTTTTTTTTTTTTGAAAAGAGACATAGAGCAGCATATATTAAGAGGAAAGATCCATATCGGACAAAGTTACAATACTTTGTGGGAAATTGCTAAAGCGAATATACTCCGCATTTCCACCCGTATCATCCCTAGCTACGGTATTACAATTCCTCTTAGCATGAGAAAATAAACAAACATTAAAACTTGCTCTATCGACTCTAATATCATCATAGACTAAATGAATAGGAGAAAGCCCACCATCATGAGAGGAGAAAGCCCACCATCATGAGAGGAGATAGCCACCACCACCGTCGCCGCTGCCGCCACCGCGTTTCCTCTCCTTGCTCTCCATCTGAACTGAACTGAATTGAGCTGAAATGAATATTTTATAAGAGAGGAAAATTAGGAGCTGAACTGAACTGATTAGAGCTGAACTGAACTAATTGAAGCTGAAATAAACTGAAATTAAGTAAATGTGAACAGGCCCTAAAACACTAGTAACAAAGTAACTTCAACCGTTCAGCTACACAGTGTGGCCAGTCACATATAAGAATTTGTATTTTTTGGTTACCGTTAAAAAATAAATCAATAAAAAAAAATTAAAAAAAAAACACTTATATGGTTAGGGCTGAGCAAAACTACCCGAAAAACCGAAAACCCGAAAAACCGATCCGTAACCGTTCCGAAAATTAGGGTACCCGATCCGATAATCATAACGGTTCGGGTACCCGTTCTGATAATTTGTTATCGGGTATGGTTATGGGTATCATTTTAAAATTAACGGTTACCCGATCCGATCCGATAAACATTTTTTTTGCTTTTTTTCCCTACTTAAATCTATTAATATAAATCTAAACTTTTACTTTACTTCATAATCACTTTATAATATCAATGATTAGTAATATTATTAATAATTTAGTCATGATCATATGGTATTGTTTTTAATTAATTGTAAATTATATCATAATAACTACATAATTAAGTTTAATTATCATTATTGGATAACTTATTGGGTACC